CCCCCCCCCCCCCAGGTCTCATTGACAACCATCCAGCCTTCACGGTCTGCCGCATCCTGGATGTTCGGCGTCGGGGGTTCCAGTATTTGGTCAACTGGGAGGGTTACGGTCCAGAGGAGCGCTCTTGGATCCCGAGGTCCTTCATCTTGGACCCCAGCCTCATCACCACATTCTTCAGGACACACTCAGAGAAGGGCTTCAGGTCGCCGGGAGGCGACTCTTGAGGGGAGGGTAATGTAAGAATCCTGCCCTGCACCCTGCCTTCCTCTCTTCTCTACACTCCTAATTGGCACCAGCTGCAGATGATCAACTCAACACCCAGGAGGAGTATAAGAAGATTCAGGAACCACTCTGCAGGCGCTGGGACATTGCCTACCAACGGTAGTTGTGTTCTGGCCAGTTATACTTTGATATTAGTGGAAACTAATGTTGTGTTTTCTCTGCACTTCCTCAGAGTTTGGATCTTGCTCTTACCTCCCCTGCTTGAGTTCCATATGAGCTGTGACTCCTCCTGCCTCTCTACAACTGCTGGATGCCTTCCACCACTTGCCTAAATCTACTTGTTGTTTCACCCTGTGCCACTGGATACCATCTGGACAAAATACCTTCTCATTCTGTTTCCTGCTTCACACTGTAAGAACTATTCAACAAGATAAATTCTCATCCAACCACAGCCCTTTAAATTACCGCTCTCTCCCCAGGTGTTCCCGTTCCCTCACATGGATGTCTTATCTATCACAATCCTGTAAATAAACACTGTAAACTATTATCCGAGTCCTGGTCTCTGTTCAGTTCTGGTCTTTCGTCTGGGTACACCCACAATCATAACAATAGTATAATTGACTTGTTTCTATTGTGTTTTTTAGTGGATTTTAATCTTGCTAGGAAACAATGTAAGATCAGATAAGTCAAAGCAAGATCAGATTATTGACAGCCACAGTTTGACATATACAGCAGTGCATAAAAGCAACATTACTGGCTATAAAAAGTCAGGCTATGGTGTTGCTTTATGATTCAGTCCATCTTCCTTGGGTGCCACTTTGAGCCAGCCAGCCAGCGCCACTGGACTGATTTACTCAACACACAAGGGGCGACATATTAGACTAGATGTGCTTGAGAGGCCAGGCAGTAAAGCTGGCAGGTCAACAGATGACCCAGACAGTGGAAGTGTGGACGAACACGTCAGACACTGGTTAACCTCCAGCTATTAAACCACTGGTGATTTCTGACCAAAGGCCAGGGAACAATGGACTTCACTACAGTAATGACACAACCTGGCATGGATAATAGAAAATATGAGAACAAGACGATGTCTAGCTCTAGCTCCAACAATAGCAGTGATACATAGGTTGGAATTATTAGCTGAAGTTCTCAAACATGGCTAATAAGCTAATTAAAAAATGATATAAGTGTACAACACTAGCAGATTATATTACTATTACACTATTTTATGTATTTATGACAACTATATTTTATCTCTTAGACAAATAATGTCTAACAAATGAATGCTACTGTTATACTATTAGCAATCATTTTCATCATCAGCCTCTATGAAAGACTTTGTCAATTATGTAACTGCCTTTGTTGGTTCTTCAGTTTGTTGGCAATTGTTTCATGAATGATCAGACAGATTTTATTGAAATTCAGAAAGTAATCATTTAAGACGGCTGCCACAACTAATTAATATTAAAAAATGCAACAAAGGACACTCGTTACAAATATTGAGTGAAAATTTGACATGGTTGCAACTGAGCATCATCATCAACACATACTCTAATCACAAATAGTATGTACCAACAACTTCAGTCTTTCAAAACTTTTGCATACTAAGTGGTGGGCAATATGCATTCCTGTAAGAAATGCTGCTTTGTAATTAAATGTATGTGGTTTATGTTGATCGTCTTGAAGACCCCCAGTACCTGCTTAATAAACCTCAATGGGATCATGATCCTAACAGTGGGAACATTTGTCCTCTTCTAAAATTTATAACCTATAAAAATCTTTTAAGTAAGCTTAAATGCATTACTTACTAAATACATATTTGTTTCTGTTTATAAACTGTCCAGGTGTCAGGTTTGGTGTGAAAGCATATGCAGAATATAAAAATGTCTAAATGCTGCAAGTCATCATGTAAATGCTAGAGTATATGAGACAAATTAGATGGGCTCACCAAGACCACCACTGAATAAAAAATTAAATAAAGTTTCAATTATAACTGTAACTATGTCATACATACATACATGCATAGGGGTGGCTGTGGCTGAGTGGCTAGAGCAGTCTTCCTCCATTGCAAGAGTTGAGGGCTCGAATCCACCAGCAGCCACATGCCGAAGTGTCCTTGGGCAAGACACTGAACCCCTTATTGCCTCTGTTGTGTGTCCCATCGGTGTATGAATGTGCTGTAAAGCTCTGATAGGAGCTATACAAGTACAGTCCATTTACCATTTACCATATATCTGTCTGTACCATATAGTACAGACAGACTGACAGACGTACATACATATGTGTGTATATGAGTGTGTGTTTGTGATGTATAAACATTACACACACACCCATTTCATATGAAATCTTTATCACCCATTGCCGAAGATGATCTTTTTGCCTGTCTTTGTCTGTGTGTGCATGTGTTCATCTCATGAACCACTAAATGGTGTTGGTTTTTATTGAAACTGTCATTACAGCTGTACCTCTGCAACTGATCAACTTTTGGAAACACCCATTTCAAAATGGCCACAGCAGCAGATCAACGTTGGCTGCCACAAAATTTGCTCTTAGTCTAACATATCAACTAAAACTTGGTGTACTAGCTAAAATTCATTCACAACAAATAGCAGTAGTGCTACTCATTGCACCACATTGTTGTCTAAATGCCCAGTGATTACTTTCTGACAGTTTCACTAAAATCTAGTTGGTGGTTTGTGAGATATTTTACTGACAGACAAACAAGGTTGGCATCAACATCTTAAATTGGGTTAAGTTCAAACTTAATTAGTTGTAGAACTACAACTCATTAAATTTGAACTTAACCCAATTTAAGATGGCGAACACATCAAACACAAAAATGGCTGTATGGGAAAAAAAATAATAATTAAAAATCACAGATAGAGCTAAAATTTTATGTGGCAGTAACTGGGAGTCATTCACAACACATGGGCTTTGGCTACATATCACAAGACTGTGCATAGTTATTTGCAACTTTTGACAAAATTAAGTACTCCATTTTGTCTGATGTAAGTTTAAATTTTTTTAATGAAATGTTGCAGGTTATATGTATTCTTTCAAGGAAGACTAGGCCTTTTTATTTGACTTTAAAGTTGAGGAAAGAGTAGAAAATATAATTTGAACACAAAGGCAAACGGAGGCTTTTATTAGAAATAAGAAGCTACCACATTGAGAGGGTTTTCTACCTTATTCAGTGACAGAAAGTTAAAATGTTTTATATTAATTTTCGGCTCAATAATAATCAGGACAAGACAAAAACACAGCTGAGACGCTCTCTATCTCGCCACTGACGCTAAAGAGCGGGTAGATATTCAAAAACAATACGTCATCCCACAATGCACCGCGCTCACGCTTTTGCCTCGCTGCATTACTTCATCCCACAATCCACCGCAAGACAGAGAATCTTCTGGGTGGTCGTCAAGGCAACGCGCCTTATCGACGGCTTTGACTCCGCCTCAAACCACGCCCTCCAGCCAATAGCAGAACCCGGGCATGACATCATGGGTAATTTTAGAGAGGCAGGGCCGCAGATAAGGTTAGCCTCCACGCGCTGCCTGTGTTACAGTGAATAAACACAAAGACAGAGGAGAGAGGAGCTGAAACGCAGCTGGAGGCTCAGAAAAAGTTCGACTCTGAGCAGTTGTGGATACAGACTAATGCTTTGTGAGCTGGTACCTTCAAGTGAACAACCACCGAGCAGCAGAGCGGGGGCAGGAGTGAGTTCCTGTGTCGACAACAGCTCAAAGTTTGGGAGTTTCTTCGCGGACAGAGAGGACCTTGCTGCTGCGCTTGTTTTGATTATTTATTATTTTTTTATTCTATGTATACCAAGATGGAAACTACTTTCTATGACGACTCGCTCAACGCTTTCTCCAAGCACGACGCGGCCGGCTACGGGTTCAGCAGCAGCAGCAGCCCCAAGGCGCTGAAACGCGCCATGACGCTGAACCTGTCCGACCCGGCCAGCTCTCTGAAGCCACATCTCCGCGCCAAGGCGGCCGACATCCTCACCTCCCCGGACGTGGGTCTGCTGAAGCTGGCCTCCCCGGAGCTGGAGCGGCTCATCATCCAGTCCAGCAACGGGCTCGTCACCACCACCCCAACCCCGACCCAGTTCCTGTGCTCGAAGACCGTCACGGACGAGCAGGAGGGCTTCGCGGAGGGGTTCGTCCGAGCCTTGGCGGAGCTCCACCACCAGCACATGCCCGCCCCCACCGGCGTGACCTCGGCTCCACAGAGCAACACGGCCCTTCCACCCGTGTCCTCCGCCTCTGTTTACACCAGCAGCGACCTGCGCTCCGACTCTCCTGTTTATGAGGAGCTGAACTCTTTCAACCCGGCCATGAGCTCCGTGCCAGCGCCGAGCTACACCACCTCCGCCCCGGCCATGTCCTTCCCCGCAGCCCCGCCTCAGCTTCCCATTTACGGCCACCCGTCCTCCGCCTCACTCCCGCGGCTCGCGGCCCTCAAGGAGGAGCCCCAAACCGTGCCCGAGATGCCCGGGGAGACCCCTCCTCTGTCCCCCATCGACATGGAGAGCCAGGAGCGCATCAAGGCGGAGAGGAAGCGCATGAGGAACCGCATCGCCGCCTCCAAGTGCCGGAAGAGGAAGCTGGAGCGGATCTCCCGGCTGGAGGAGAAAGTGAAGACCCTGAAGTCCCAGAACTCTGAGCTGGCGTCCACCGCCAACATGCTGCGGGAGCAGGTGGCGCAGCTGAAGCAGAAGGTGATGAACCACGTGAACAGCGGCTGCCAGCTGATGCTGACGCAGCAGCTCCAGACCTTCTGAAGAGGAGAGGACGCGTCTCCCACAGAGCAAAGACAAAAGTAACGAAACGTAAATGAATAAATAAAAACCTCGTGGCAGGATTTGGGATGATGTGGCAGGACTGGGGAGGGGGGTCATAGAGCGTCGTTAAGTTGTCACCCCCCCACCTCATGTCAGAGATGGGCTTGGAAAAGAGTAGAACCAAGAGACTGTTTTTACAGACAGACTGAAGTTTTCTTGATTTTATTTCTAGCTCTGCGTGGACTGGATCATTGTCCGTGTTGGACTGAAGGACCTGGACTTTGGTTCTTGCTGCAGACACTTCGGGCGTGTTTCGACGCTGACGCTTGAAAAGTTGTAACAAATGCTGTCGACCTCTGATCCAGTACAAAACCTTTTTTTTCTTAATTGTAAGAAATGAAAAGCTTTTAGAATTACTTGTAATTTCTAAAACTGTTTTAATGGGGTTTCACTCATTATTATTATTATTATTATTGGTATTTTTATTATTAATTATTATTATTTGTATATAAGATCAACTTGGAGTACTTATTTTTACGATTTGTTTATAAGAAAACCGTATTTGTTTTTTTAATTTCTTTATTTCTGAGCACTTGAGGAGCTAATCAATATTTAAGAGAATAAACCAGATGAAATGAAGCAACAGTGTCTCTGTTTGTGTGTAAGAGTGGCAGGTGGGTGTGCCACGTTAGGAACTCCAACAATAAAACCTGTCGCAACATGTTACACGAGCTGCTGGTAAATTCCATTAGTGCTGGTATTGATTACAACTCTCAGAACAGGCAAAACTGTGGAAAGCTTCTCTGCAAATTACAGCAGAGCGTTCTACTTTGACTCAGCATATGCAGGAGGGTGACCCTCGTAAATAATGACAAAAATAAACTTCAAAGATTAAATTTGACACAGTTCCTTACAGGCCCACTTTTATTTAATTACAATATTCAGTTACCCAACAATACTTGTACTAATGTAAATAAAGTAACACATAATAGGTAAAAAAAAAAAGTACAACTTGATCAAATTTAAATTGCATGCTTGTGGTAGTGAGCTGCACTTAATCATTAAGTCTGTATAGTTTTTTTTAAATAAATTATTTTATACGTTTTGGATTTTATATGGACTGTGGCCTGTTCTTAAATATAGCCTTTCTATCTCATCCAGACACTCAGAGCTTTACAATCTGTGTCCTCATTTACCCATTCATACAGCACTCTACCGTATATTGATACAAAGATAATTGAATAAATCATTTTAAAAAGACTAATCAGAGCTTTATCACATTCATACACTGATGGGACACACATCAGAGGCTATGAGGAGTTCAGTGTCTTGCCCAGGAAATAAAACACTTCGGCTGGTGGATTCGAACCCCCAACTCTTGCATTGGAGGATGACTGCTCTAACCACTCAGCCACAGCAT